CCAATGAAAAAATGCTTCAATGGTTCCAAATGAACATCAACACGCACTCCGATCCGATGGCTAGCAACACGAGCTAAAACGCATGATGATTTTCGACCGTCCATGCAACGGTCATAGTTTTAAAAGTCATTATAATCGCTCTAAACACTGAAGACTTTCTTAGAACTGTCGATATTTCAGCATTGACAATCTTCATGGTAAATAACGATGTCAGTTATTTATCTTGAGAATTCAAACTTTGTAGCGATTATTAATCTCTTAAACAACTACCTTACTACTGGTGATGCAACAACTACTACTACTACTGGTGCAAATATATGGACAGAGTCTGTTCCAGACTCCATTTGTCTTTTGCTGAAGCTCAAACTCTGGCACAGGATCGGGAACGTTGGAAGCTCTGTCTGAGGCGTCTGCCTCCGCGACCGGAAAGGCGCAGCGATGACAGAAGATGAAGATGAAGAAGATAAAGAAACAACTACCTATGCGCTGCCCTGTGGACGACTGAATATCAACACACGAATTTCGATTCGATGGTAGCTATTGTCCTAACCAGTGAATTGGAAAACAAGAGAGCATTTATTTACAACCGTTCACGTATCATTGTTAATAACAAAAAGCGCTCCGCATCCTTTCTTTTGGACTGATGCATATGGTAGCTGAAAACAATCATGCACAGTTTGATTTTCACTGTTATCTCATAGGTTATTAGATCAGCTTTAATGAAAAAGAGGCGCAGATGCTTTGTCAAGCCCCGATTACCGTTGCTTCCTTCACAGACCGTTTCAGAGTACGTGACGTGCCATCGCTGCTAAGAAAAAAACTCCCCCTCCCACAGACTTTGTCTTGGCATGCATCGCTTAGTTTAATCGTTAGTTGATATGCGTTTGTAGGGAGATTGAGATCTTACAGAGGATGCGGATGCGTGAACATAATCAGCTGAAGCCTCTTACTCAAGTAGCAAATTTCTACTGATAATTATGATAGCACAACAACTGTGGCTGACTTGTAGCTGTTTCAGAAACTCGTTAGGGAATAACGCTCATCAGCATTCCATTAGTTTGTTCCCTCCTACGCTCGGAATATAACGTGTTTCTGCAAAAATCGATACTCATTGCTGTTGGTGGTCCAGAATATTTTAAATTTGTCAGATTCTTGTTCCCCTGGCATTTGCGCTGTTATGATTACGGGAGGAACAACTCAATTATTAAGCTTCGGTGTTCCGCCTGGCGGAAGAGGCACCGGCAACCAAGATCGATATAACTCCAGTTCTGTAAATACTCAGTGACTGGGAGATCGCAGTTTGCAGCGATGCGCGAGAAAAGCATGATGAGGAACTCTTAATCACGCCGCTTATCTTTTGAATAAAGGAAACCCCCTTAAGGATGTAAGGCGCAGTAGAAACCTCATACCTACAAATTCCCTCTGTTTAATTTAACCGCAGTTTTCATTGATAGTTGGCACAGTGAAAAAAATTGAACATACGTTCACTCTATCTCTCGAAAGGCAATACTGTAAATCACTGTACCTGATGCGCATAAGTCACTTTTTTCTGATCGACTATGAGCCTGCCAGGCGTCAAAAACTTTTTCGCATGATTGGAAACTGTTTCTCTCTTGACGTTGCCAATTTCTTTGAATGCAGACATTTCTGAAACCGAAAATATAGAATTATGGAAATTTATGCAAATCGCCTGTAATACTTAAAAATCTGGCGTTTGTCGGCTAATGACAAAGCATGAATGGGCAGCTGGTCGATGACCAACTGAGGGTAGCACTCTTCGTACGAGCCACTGTCACTTATTGATTCATTAGACATGAGGAAGTATTCTGAAAAGTCGGTGACGTCGTCGTGCTGTTTTGAGCTGCACTCGACGTCCGACGCGTCGTCCGTTGGCCCAAGCCTGCTTTCCTCCTCACAGAACATGTTTCGAAGTGCCCACAGCCTCTTGCACTCGGAAGTCAGATCACGTCCGTCGTCCAACGATCGATTGGTCTCTTCCCGACCAACCCCATACTGAACGCCGTCCGACAATGCTCTGCAGAACTGACCATCGAAGTTACCTCCACTCTGGCCAATGGTCATTAAGAGTTGCTCTACGATCACACTGTACACAAGAAAACGATGTGCAAATGTGTCTTGGTCGTTCGATAGAGAAAATCGGAAGGAATTCGATAATTTTTTTCGGCTACATCTGACCCGTTGAATATCCTGTCTTTAGTATCGTACCACGAGCGTAACGGATGGTCGCGTCTGATCGATTCCGGCTAACGATCTGGAACTTGACCCTGAAATAGAAATAATAACCATGCAAAACCCATACCTCTGGTTTCCAAGGCTCACGGAAGCCGCTCGAAAATCGAGTCGAGCTTGTCTATGAAAAATCGAAAGTGCGGTCGCAAAATATGATGCGCAACTGGTTGGACTGGGGTGGCCGAAGAACGGCCATTCATTCTCGCCTCTCCAGCCCACC